GGGAAAAGAAGTTTTATTTGATGAAAGACATATACATATTTAAATTAACTTGCACAATTATATCAGAAAGGTACCATTCCTAATCCGCACATCACGATTACGACCCTTTGGTTTAATATTTTTCCAAATCGAAATTTTCTACCTGCATGATTTATATAAACCAAATCAATATCTGTACACGCAACTACAGATATCTTGACATTTTAAACTTTTGAGGAAAGAGTTTTTTAAAAAACTTAAGCTACAAACAAGCATTATAATGTTTTATAATCTTTTGGAGTTTTGGACTGTTGTCTACTCATCCGACATATACAAGAAAGAAGTGACTTAATTTGTAAATTAATATACAATGACATATATACAAGAAATAAATGATTTTGTGAATGGATCCAATGAATATATAGTTAGATTTTTTTTTTAAAAAGATTAGTCATATAAAACTTCAAATTGAAAAACAACGGATTTTCTTTTACCTGCAAAATCGATGGAGGGTAATGTAGAATATGGAACATAGTCTGGATGATTGAGAAGAGGGTTAAGCTCATAGTTGTTTGGAGCTACAATCCCCAAATAAGGACCCTTTTGATTCATCCACTCAATTTTTCTCAAAACTGTTCGAGGTATTTCACAATTTGCATCTTCAACAATATTTCCAATGGACAAAATAGCCACAAGAAGACCAATCAAGAAATATCCCATAACTTCTCCCCCTCTCTTTCTTTCTCTCTTATCTTTTCTTCTATGCTTCTGCCTAAAGTTTCTTGTATTTATGGACATGCAAATGTAAATATGTAATACACTATAATACCCACGTTATAAGCATGGATGTTCATAATAGGCTCAATTATTATGGGTGGGCCTAGAACCGGTGAAAGATTTAAAAATTGGACTGACTGGTGTGTGTTGTAGAATCAAAGTAGGGGAGAGAAAGATAAAAAATCAGATTGTTGAGGATTTTCTTTGGTTGCTTACTGTAATCTGATTGGTGCAGAGTTGAAAGAAAAACTTGGATTAGTTAGATATTTTCCTATATTTTTTACACCAGTCACCACACCAGTACCTTATCCTTTTGCAAGGAGTACTTTTTTTTTCCCTAAAAAGTAATCGAGAAGGTCAATTATTGGTCTTCTATATATATTTGAAAACAAAAATCCATAGCACAATTGATTTATATATAGATATGATCAATTTAAAGATTTATCAGCATGTTAACATTCGTTCTTTTATTTTAAAAGAAAAAATAAACAAGCAAAAAAAATGTAAAAAGCACAAACCAATTTGATTATGACTGAAAAATAAACTGTAACAGAGAAAATTTAAAACATAATAAAAAGTGAATAATTATGTGAGATAAAGCCAAATCAGATTGAATTTTGTTTAAATGCAGAAATTAGTTCCAAATGATTTTTTTAGCAAAATTTTGAAATCAATTATTCCAATAGAAACTAAACCAAAATATTTAGCTAGTATCATGAGACAAAAATACAAGGATAAGTCGCATAGATTCCGATGAGTCCTTGTATGTATATATAATATATACACTCATCAGTATTCATTTTTGGGGTCTAATATCATATATATATTCGTGTAATTAAGGTTAAGGTAAATTACATTGAATACACGTTATATACGTAATCATATGAAGGACGCATATGATTGAATACGAACAATCTAATTGTCAACATGTCATATAGAGAGGGTTGTTCGCTACACTCTATCATTAAAAAAAAATTGTCAATAAACTATATTTAAAAGGTATACAATTTAAGAATAATAACTTATGTACAAAATTGAAAAAAAAAATCATGTACAAAATAATAAGGGTGAATTTGGTGAATAACCAAAAAAAAATTATAATTCAAGAACTAAGAAAAAATGCATATATGATTTTAAAAAATTAATTAGTTATTAAATTATAGTTTTTTTGTTAGTTATTAGTGCTAATTTCCCAAGTCATAAAGCTCATACAAATTAGAATATAAATCTAGTTGCTGTAATTTATTGGCTGCATATGGTTTATATCAATTTTAAAAAACCATCAATGCTAATATTTTTATATATTAAGAAAAAACAAGTAAAATTTATCCGAAAATAGTCCGGAGAGCTGCTTAATTAATTAATAAAATAACAAAAACAAAGTTGAAGGAACTATGAGGAACAATTACGTGTAATTCTATGGTTCTAAATCATTAAAATCCCTGACATGTGACATAATGACATTTCATTTCCACCATAAAATAATATTCTTTCTCTTCCCTTAATTGTTTCTTAATAAAATTTATAATGGTTGTGCAATTAAGATTGTCCAATCCGACAGCTAAAGCGAAACCGGAAAAACAAAATATACTAAGAAAAAAGGAAAATAAGTTAAATAAATTGATTCATTTTGATCTTTTAGGCTAATCTATTCAACTCTCGATATTACTTTCAAACACATATCTCGGCGAAATTAGATACTTTAATGCTTAAATTAACTACCATAATTCTTTTTGTTTGAACAGTTCATATACTCTCCGGTGTATATCTCTTTAACTCATTATTTAGTTTTGTACTAGCCAATAAAATTCATATTTAAATATTTATTGATTTGATCCTTCATATTTAACAACCATTATTATTTGCACCACTTCAATATATTAATAAACTAAGCATAATAACATAAAAGTGGTAGATATAGAAATAAGTTTTTTGACTTTTCTCTTACTCATATAGAAGCATGGATACATCATTTTTAAAATTGTAATGGGCAAAGGTAAGATAAATTTGGAGAGGTTTCTCAAACTCGCATTGAGAAAGTTCTGTTAAATTATCTTGAACCCTCTTTAAACAAACNGGCAATAAGAGAACATATTTGTTGTTAAATTCAAAGATTTTGTTATGACAACATTGTCTAATATTTCATTTACATTATTGTTTAATAAAGAAGTATAAAATTTTATTATTTTTATAGAAATCAAGGAAGAAGGAGAAATAAAAAGAAGGAGATAAAAAAAATGAAGAGCCTTATGTTTTATCATACTTTTTTTTCATATTTTAAGTTAATTTAGCAACCTTAGCTACTCTCATTCCACTTTCTTCCATTTTTTCTTGGGATGAACATGCTGAACAAATTATGTGTTTCCAAACACATAAATTTTTTTTTTATTTGTTCAGATTCATGGCAAGATCATCATTGCATATGTGACTGAGAGAGATGCAGATTACATATGTAAAGATGACCTCATTATGAGTATGAAAAAACAAAACATCAATTTGTATGAACAAAATGAAACCAAAATTAAAGTGATCATGCCATAAAGTCATTGAGTTCTTACCTATTCCATGTCATCTTTTCAGTTAAAATAATCTAAATCAAACAATATGATTGTAACATTCATTGACAATGACTAATAAAACATTACAAGCTTAATATTATGAAATATTTTGTTTTTCCAGAAAATGTATGATGTAATGTAGATATCAAAAAGTTAAATCACACCATCAAGTTTGGATTGTATGATTAATCGAAATACCATATTCGAAATTTTATCGCACGCCTCATGTCTCTTAACGTTTGGTTTTGGACGTATACTGAATGTATACTGCAATATCCACAACATGTATCTTGAATAGTTTCAATTAATTTCCACAATATAAGATTACATTCAAATATGGTTTACTCTATCTTTAATTAGGCAATACTCTTCTCCACTATTTGAATTCCATAAATTTCCTTTTTTTTTTTGTTAATTTTTTAAATGATAATATTAAATAAAATAGATTTATAGTCTTTCAAACTTTTTTTTTCAAATCGAAATACATTTTGTCTCCTCAAAAGTGATAATTTTCAATTTGTGGTGAAATCTTATTATCACGCAATCAAATTTTTATTTTTATCTCAAAGTGCATTTAAATTTCTTAATCTTATGGGTAGACACAATTATTATTCTCATATAAACATACCATCGTGCACAACTCTCTTTTTTATCATAAGACTCTAAATCCTACCTTACATATTTTCTCCATGCCAAAACAATACATCGAAAGTTATGAGTACATTGTGGAGCCAACACAACTTTTGAAGTTTGATTTTTAATTTAGACAGTTTTATGCAGAGTACATAATTTTTAGATACTTTTGTTGTTTAAAACAAAATATTTTTGAAAAAGTGAGCAAAATAAAGTAGACTAGTTGTTCAAAAACATATATAATTTTTGTTTACAATCCAAAATAATTAAATACAGTTGCACTATTCCACATATAGTAATTAAGACCAATTTATATATAATATTTTGATGAAAAAAATACAAAGATTTTTCCATTAAAATCAAAAAGGTTTTTCCATAAAAAGCAAAAAAATATATATTATTTAAGATTTTGCGTTTTTCTAATTTTAATATTATTTATGTACTGAAATTCGAAATTTTGAAACAGTACCTTTCATCACTAAGTCGCTTCCCCACTCCTCTCCGCTCTCCCAACCTACACAACACTATTATTTTGACAATCTTTTCTCGGTTTGTAGGTTGTTTAAGCATTGAACATGCACAACAAAATCTAAAATCTAAAATATTAAAATATTGTTTAAGATAATTAGTTATGATGACGAATATTGTTTATGAAGTATAGTTTATGCAATTTTTTGTTTTGAATCATATCGTCATTATTGTTGACACACTTGACGATATGATCAAATGTTTCGATGAACATGACATCGTGGACATGTTTAGTGTTAGCATTGTTTACAAAAACATATTGACATTAAGATATCACAATGAACAACTAATTGTGGGTATCTTAATGCTAACAAAAAATAATTCCTATATGGAAGGATGTGTACCTAATAAATTTACTGTGCTAGTCATATTAAATATTTTTTTTTTCTGGTTTTGTGAACTAAATTATGAAATAAAGATTTACAACAAAATAAATACTTCTGTTGGTTAGGTCAAGATATAATATATTATAAATTTTTCCAAAAGTTAATATGTAAATAGGAAGTATATTACCAACCTACTTTGTTACATAATTCATCAATTAATATCGATGATCCATGATTTGTAAACAGTCAAAATCTATAATCCAAGACTCTAGAAGTTCGATATCAATGATCCACGATGTTTCATTATTTTTTCAAACATTTTTCCAGGACCCTAGAAGGTCGATATGAATGATCATTAGTTTTTCGAACATTTTCTTCTCCCACAAAGAGCAAATTTGAATATGTGAATGCATTGAGATTTTAGATTTTTCAAATGATTTGTGAAGATGAATGAGAGATAGGTCGTCGAGATATTTCAGCTAAAATTGAAGGAAAATACATATCGACCTTTTAATGGGTCTAATTTTTATAAGCCCAAAATAACTGACATACTAGCTTTTTATAAATCATTAATCGTTGTGCCTCATAACTAGTGCTCTAATGACTATGAGCTCTTCTTTCAGCAACTGCTTAGTTGAAACTCATTATCAAGAATTTTGTTGTTGTTGACAACTATCAAACATTTTAAGAAATTAAAGTCAAATTTCCTAAAAATGCTTTTAAACCAAGAACTGAACTAAATCTCCAATCAAACTCCATAAATTAATACCATATCCAAAATAAAGTGG